TTTTTATTGTGACCATCCCAGGCACACCAGTGTTGTAATGATGCTGTTTCATCAGTACCTTAATATGCCACACCTGTCAGGTGGATGGATTATCTTAGTGAGCATTTCTCCTCCTCTGACACGGATTTTAACAAATTTGTGACTAAAATCTGAGAGAAATCTATCTGTAAAGTACATAAAAAAGTCTTAGCTCTTTAACTTAAACCTGTGAAAAATTGGAACAAAAACAAAAGTGTTGCCTTTAAATTTTTGTTTAGTGTACTTAAATATAAATGATTAATTAGAATGTAGTTAATGAAAATGTACATAACTCCTGTCAAATGTCATAATGTCTGATAGTGTTCCAAATGATTGTACTAAATGTTTGAACAACAGAGGTGCTATATTTTACCTTCTGTTGGAATGTCTGAAGATTTAAAACTTGTCAGAAATGTTATGAAATGTTTGCCAGCAATATTTAATGCCAAAGTCTCCTTGAATGCCAAACTCTGTGTGCTGTGAATATACATTGAGGACTTAATGCAAACATTGAAACAGACTAAACTTCTGGACTTCGGCCATCCTCAAGCCAGGAGTGTGTTGCATTATGTTGGAAGAATATGGACGCCCCATCATTAAGAATTTGGATAAAGGAGCTTTGGAACTGTGTTGTTCTGGAAAGACTAATTTACATCGCTATGGGCAAGTAGAAAGACTTTGCTCAGCTCTGTCAGTCATACAAGAGCATCATGAAAGCTGGCTTTATTGTTTTTTGTAAATATACACTCATTCTAAATTTGATGCCAGCAACACGTTCCAAAAAAGTTGGGACAGGGAAAGTTGTTGCTGCTCAAAAAACACCAGTTCGGAAGATTCCACAGGTAAGCAGATTCATTGGTAACAGATGATAGTATCACTAAAAGGTACAACAGGAACTTCCTCTGGGGCACCCAGTAGCTCACCTGGTCGAGCAGGCGCCCCATATACTAAGGCTATGTCCATGCTGCAGCGGCCACAGGTTTGATTCCAACCCATGGCTCTTAGCTGCATGTCATCCCCTTTCTCTCCCCCTTTCACTCTGAAGCTTTCAAATAAAGGCAAAAGTAGCTGAAAAATAATATTTTTAAAAAGGAAGTAAGGGGCATCCTTGAAAGGCTCAGGTGTTCACTAGCAAGAGTGGTCACTTTGTGAAAAACTACAAGGGAAAAATGTCCAACCGTTTGAGAACATTTCTCAATGCATATTTGCAGGACCTTTATGGATTTCACCATCTACAATTCGTAATATCATCAAAGATTCAGAGAATCTGGAAAAATCTCTGCACGTAAGAGACAAGGCTGAGCACTAACGTTGACTGCCAGTGACCTTTGACCCCTCAGGCTGCTGCACTGCATTAAAAACCAACAAGATTATATCAAGGATATTACTACATGGGCTTTGGAACACTTTGAAAAACCAACAGTAAAAACAAGTTAATCGCTTCATCTACAAATTCACCATGACTATTTACATTGTAGATTCTCACTGAAGGCATCAAAACTATGAATGAACACATGTGGAGTTATGTACTTAACAAAAAAAGGTGAAATAACTGAAAACATGTTTTATATTCTAGTTTCTTCAAAATAGCCACCCTTTGCTCTGATTACTGCTTTGCACACTCTTGGCATTCTCTCCATGAGCTTCAAGAGGTAGTCACCTGAAATGGTTTTCCAACAGTCTTGAAGGAGTTCCCAGAGGTGTTTAGCACTTGTTGGCCCCTTTGCCTTCACTCTGCGGTCCAGCTCACCCCAAACCATCTC